AGTAGTTCAATCGATATTGTATTTGAAAAAATTACTTGAATTTATTCAATATATAGTAATGATATTTTTTTTTCCTTATGAGAATGAAAATAATGAAAATAATTCTTTTTGTTTAATTGAAATGCATAAAAAAAGAATAATGAATACTGGAGCACCTAAAACATATAGTGCAAAGTCATGAAAGTCTAATAATTTTTTAACTATTATAGTGGATAAAGAAGTAAGTTTAATTTATAAATTGAATAGACTATATTTATATATTAATAATAATTTTATCAACTTTCTAGAATTATCTCGTTGATAATTCTACATTACATAATGGTGAAATTAAATTCTCAATTGTGAATAAGCCAACAGAATTTTTAACAGATAATGTAAAAGAATTCTTGATAGATAATATGAAAAAAGAATTTTCAATAAATAACATGGAAGAAGAATTTTCAATAGATAATACAGAAGAAATATTAAAACCATTGGTTCTATCAATCCAAAAATAAACAACTCTTGCAATTTGTAATCAAAAACATAATATTACAAAGGTTTGTAAGTTTAAATAATAATGAGTAACAATAAAAATATATACTAAAATACTTTATATTTTATAGAATCAATTGTCTCAGTCTTTTCAAGAACAAAATAGAGGCAATATTAATACAACTCTATCCAACAAAGCTATTATACAGTCTGCACTTAAACATCTCTTTGAAGAAAAACAAACAGATTGGAAAAGATGTAATTTCATAAAAACTGGTATTGAGCAAAGTATTTGCTTAGATGATAATGCAGAATTGAATAAAAAAAAACTATTTACTTGATTTGATAGCAGAAAAAATAGAGTGAAACAAGTGCTAAAGTTGTAATTACTAGTATTAGAGTAATATTACCTGTAGCTTTTGCATATAATATGAAATATAATTTATTGTGAAATGCGATTTATTATTATTGTATAAATTATTTGCAAAATGATAATAATTTTATCAGTTATTGTAAAAAAAAAAATATGTATATTATTTTTATTTTTTTTTTTTTTAAGACTGGTCAATAATGAAGGGTTATCCTGGTCAATAAAGG